GGGGATGTATATATAATAAAATTAAATTAATAATGAATTTAGTTTATTTTTTGGAAAAAAATGGACCAAACCACAAAACACCCATATTTATTCTCCAAACTCTTACAAATAACTTTTTTGCCTAAAAAAAGCATTAATGGACAAACCATAAGTTAAAAAGATGAAGTATACTGTATACATAAAAAAGTAGAATATTTTTAAAGGACAAAAGAATTTATATTTTCTCCCTTATCTTTTCTTTTCTTTTTTCCACGTAATTTTCTCCTCCCTTTTCTTCTTCGTCTCTCTCCGTGTCCCTCCCCCTTCTTCTGAACATTTCGCCGACCAGTCCCTTCTTTGTCGATACATACACACACTTCACTATTCATATATAAACAAAAACACTTCACATATTCACATACTTCTCTTCCGTTGATCTCTCTCTCTCTCTCTGGATCCTTATCCAACACCGTCACACTCTGGTATGCCAACTTTCTTCTGTCTTCTTTAACACGTTTTATGTACCTCCCCATCACGGATCACCTGCCGAAAATTTTGTTTCATTTCTATCTGTTTACTTTTACTTTGATCTGATTTATATGTATTTTTAGTTGTTTTGTCTCTCTTTTTTCGTTGTTCTTTGTTTTAATTGGCATTTGAGTCACTTGAATTAAATTCTTGGTTCTTGAGCTCTTCTTGATAACATAGCACTTGCAGTGCATTTACTACTCCCTCATCCCAAATGATTTGGGTTATTTGACTGGAGACAGAGTTTTAAAAATAATGGAAAACTTTAAACAGAATACTCTAAGTAGTCTTAGTACCAGAATACATTCTCTCTTTTTTTTTCTTTTTTTTTTTGTATCTACCGGACCCTTCTAAGTGTAAAATGAGATTGTAAAGATTATGTAGTTTCTAGATAAGGAAACGGTCTTCGTGCCAATTCTTTTGGGATGGATGAAAAAAGAGGAGTGCTACTAAATTGGAGTTGAATTGGCATGCGGATTCTTTTTTTTCTTTTTTTTTGGAGGGGGGGGGGTGGCTCATTGGTCTAGGCACTTTTCGATGGTTGCTGTGTTGTTGACGGCGTCCTTTAACTTTTCTGGATCTTTTCATAACAAATATGCTGCTATTGCTTTCTGTTTATGTAAAGTAGATTGGATTTCACAACAGCATGGATTTATCTTTACAAAGGCGTTTAATATTTTAGAGAATTAGGTGTAAATGTTGCATGGCCATGTGATTTGATTTAGTGCTTGGTAGTTTTGTGGCATTGAGCTAAGAATTCGATATCAGCCAGACTTTTAGTATATATGGATGCATAAAGTGTAATAGTCATGAACCAGGTGGCACCGCATTATTATCCTATGATGATATCTTTTAGTGCACCGTAAAAAGGAACATGTCTTCTTGTTGTATAATAATTGCAGATAAGCCTATAAGGCTATAAGCAACTACTCTGCGATACCAGCACAGTAGAAAAGTTTTGGTCCTGTGTGCTGCTTTGCCAACCATTTCCTTGTTTTCTTGTTCTATTGATAATGTAATGAAGATTCTGTTTTCCTTAACTTTCTAGTGAAATCCAGTTAAATCTAGTCTTGGAGCATGTGTTCGAGTTTCTACCAACTTATGAGTTATTATTGAGATATGATAACATATCATAGTTGATAAAGAATGCTCCCAATTCAAATGGAATTTGCATTGGCCTGATCTTTTGGAATATAGTAAACATGTGGATAACATTAATTTGTTTTGGCTCTTTCCTGTTGTATCTACGAGGGAAATCTAGACTCGAGAACAACAATTAGAGCTGGCACATCAGGTATTTAGTGGGAATCTGACCTACAATAGCTTTTGCAAATGATAACGATTTCATCATCTTCTGATCTGTCTTTTGGGAGCATATGGGAACTTGAATTGAAATAGATAGGATAGGTCCCAATGCTTCAATACACCTTTGAGTTTTCAATGGGATTTAGTTGAGATTAGACTCAATATACCTCCTCGACTTGTCAGAGATTTAATTTAGGTTATTTAGGGACGTTATTAGGAAAAACTCTCTTCTACAGAAACACTACCTTTTGTAACAGTTGCTAATTCTACAGAGTTTGCCTCTTTCTTTCCGCTTCTCCTTCCAGTCACCTTTAGTACATACACAAATCTAGGTTCTCTGAATGTCAAGTTGATTGAAGGTTTGGTGTAAACTTTACTGTCAAAGCAACAAGCATTCTAATGTCGAGATGTTCAAAAGGCATGACTAGTTGTACTACTCACGAATTGTCATTTTAGTTGCCTTTTCGCAGGTTCTCAAGTATAGACTATTGCTTCAGACAAACTATACTTATATTATGTAGGATTGAATCTCTGAGTAGCTTTTCTTGCTCTGTATATTGACAAACTCTTTGCTTTTGAGAAGTCTTTTCCCACGTGATGAAGAAGAAAAAGAAGTACAATTTGATCAAATTACTTCTAGATTAAAATGCGAAATGAATGAATCAACTTTAAATCTTTGAACATCAATAAAGCTAACCAGGAAAGCAAGCCTACTACCAGGGGCAGTTTGCACTGCCATGTGGATTTTGGGTTTGTTTAGTGTAGCCTATTAAGGCAATCCAGAGAACCTCCAAGAAATTATGCATCTTTGAGTCAGAGGTGGCTTGGGGAAGTTACCTTTTCACTTTCTGGAAATGAAGATGACATTGCTTAGGGGACCTTTACCTCCAGAATAGGAAATTGGTAGAGGATTTGCTCCCGTAGATTAATCCCTGGCACCTACGTAAAACATATTTATGCAACTGAGATCTTCAAGTTTCACCTAGAAAATCCACAAATGAATAGTAGTAAAATATCTAAGATGGGCTTCGACAAATAGTTGCATGTCTCTAAATTTAGAATATAATAAGCAGTTTGGGCTCAGGACAACTTGATATTGCAGGAATGCCAAGTCATTTGACATTCAAATTGTTTCTGCTGTAAATTATGTTATTTGGTTTAATTATCAACATCTGTTGATACCTGTGCTATGTGATTTTATGATTCTGCCTGGCAGTAGGCCAAAGTTATGAGTTGTTTAAATCATTTCTGTTTTTTTTTTATAAATATTTTCAGAAGGATTTTTTGTCCTCCCTTTTTTCCTTTTGCCTGCCTTAGGATTTTTCGTATTTTGTACACACCACCACAACGTAAGTGTGCATGCAGACATATACCTAACTCAAGCTGAAGAATATGTTAATATTTTTAATTTGTATATGCCAAACTTATCAAAAAAACATTGTAAATGTCAAATTTAATTTCTGAAGTTCCCTTTTATGATCTATTAGTTGTGGATAGATGCCAGTTGCAAAACTCCGCATAGGTGGTACTTCAGATGCAATGAAAGCAGATGAGGTGAACGATTCACTTGATACTTTCATTAGACAAGCTATGGGAAAGGAACCTCTGCTTTCTTTCCCAAGAACGGGGGAAGGTCCTGTTCAATGGATTCAATGGCTTAATTCTTTAGATCAGCCAGGTACCGAACTTAAAACCTGGTGTTCATAGCATACAACATTTCGTCTTTTTTTTTTTGTTGGTTAACCATCTGGTATCAAAGCACACTGGCCCGGCTAATCCGGATTCTAGCTGCATAGGGAAGAGCTCCCTACTAGAAGTTTTTCCATTCCTAGGGCTCGAACCCGAGCCTTTGATAAAGGGTGGAGGGAAAGGGATCCCATCCATTCCACCATGCTCCTTGGTGGTATAGTATAACACATTTCACTAGGTTCTCATGCATGTTAAATTAGTGGATCAAGGAATTTACCGATATTTCAACAGATGTGGATCCCTCAAGCTGAATAGAATGTGAGTTTAGTCATCCAAAATGCTTTAAGCGACAGTGTTTGATGCATTAGCTGCAGATGCCAATAAGTAGCCTGAAAAGGACTATCTGAAGATTCTCCAGACTGTAACAGGTCACATACAGGACTATGGCTTAAGTCATGAATATTGATAAGCTTCTGTTACTTTTTTTTGCAGATATTACTGGATGGCCTTTTTTGACACCTTCAAGAGTTCAGATGCAGAAGTGTGAGAAATGTTCGAGGGAATTTTTTTCACCTATTAATCACAGAAGACATATACTTGTGCACCGCAGATCCTTAAATCTTGATAAGGTATATCTCAGACTTGGAGGCCTTTTTCTTTTTACTTTGATGTGTTTTAATGCTGGAAAAGATTTGGAGGTTTACCATTTGTGTACATGTAGTTATTGTAAAGGCTCGCATAAATTCTAAGCTAGGTGCAGCACATAATGGGTGCTTCTTAAGCAGTGCTTCAGTGTAGGTTCTAAGGCGTTAGCACCCATGGTTCTCTCTTGATGAGAGCAACACTAACCATTGAATATAGTTTGTAAAAAAACAACAACAACAAAAACAACAACCCAGTAAAATCCCACTAGTGGGGTCTGGGGAGGATAGTGTGTACGCAGACCTTACCCCTACCCCGAAGGAGTAGAGAGGTTGTTTCCGAAAGACCCTCGGCTCAAGAAAATAAAAAGACAACAATTGTTAAGGAGACATTGTGAGCAATATGCTATTAGAATATGAATTTTAATCAATGTTAGCG